TGAACTATTTTTGCATAGACTAAAGTACAAAGCAGTAAAAATCATTAATAGGCAATCGTTCGATGGACTGACTTGCACAAAACGTATGATGCGCGTTGCTATTTCTTAACATCATCACCCGCCTATACCTGGGTGTCGCGTACGGACGTCTTAAAAAAACATGCAAATTTTTTGGCGAGAAAGCGATCACGCTAACCAGAAAAGGTATGAGGCTGAAACTTTACAGGGATATTTCCCGTGCGTGTGTGAGAAAAAAATTTCAAATTCAGTCTTCAGTTATGTGTGGTATTCACGTAAGGGCGTGTAAAAGTTTTGGCTGGAAAATTGCTAACTCAGAAACCATAAAAGTTGGAAAATTGAAATTCCAAATACAACTTAAATATTCCAAATTCAGCCTTCAGGTATATGTGGTTCTCACGTATGAACACTTAAAAGCTTTGATGAGAAAATTGCTCACTAAACAGCTGAGTCACTTTCAAACAGCGACTGTTAAATGGAAATTGTTTATTTACTTCGTGCAGAATTTGTGGTGATTTATTTAACTTTCGAGGCTGAAAAATTGAATGCATATATTAATTAGCTTCGCTCAGCATGTGCGAGCATCACAATAACATCATTAACACGAGATGCCCATCCCACTGCCCAAAAGGGATTCGTATTCTTGGTATTCGAATATTGCAGTAAAGTTTCCAACTGTCTAAAGCTTTTTTTTTTATTCTAATCAATGTCAAAATAGTCTCGGTACAGTGCGTGAGTTGAAAAGTGCAAGCTGTTGTCAAATAAGTTGAAATTCTATTCAAACTGCGCGAAACAAGCCTAGACATGTTCAATTACGTTGGAGAAGCAGGAAACTGGGTCTCAAAATGTGATGCTTAAGCAAACGTAAGCGATAACGAGCAATAAAATAGTACTTTGAATGCGAATTGCTACATTTGAAGATCTCGGCTATTTTGTCAAAAATAGGATGTGTTTTTGTTTCAATACTTTCCTTAATATCAAGCGTCTTCGGCTTGCAGAGTAGCTGCTGATGTAACAAAGTGGTTTAAATCGCAAGAAACGTACAAAATGATTCCAATCGAATTTATGCTTGGCTTCTTTGTACAGGCAATTACCACTCGATGGCAACGCATGGCTTATGAAATGGGATTCATTGATGAGTTTGTTCCTACAAATTTCTATCCGCTTTTGCACAAATGTTTGGTGCAAAGATGTATTATGGTAAAATCATATCTACATTCATGCGTGTGCGTTTTTCCGGGTAATTCTACTTGAAAAGCAATGAAATCTAAGACTGCGGGGTTCGGGAACATAGCATTGGTTTATGTAAAGGATCGAAACAGAAACCAAAATTTAATTAGCAACATTTTTGTACCTCAGCCTCCGATCTAGTATTAAAATTTAGGTCAATATGTTTAGAAATGAAGAAGCATCACTCACAAAATCTTATGAGCTTGATTCAGCAATTAATCCAAAGTCAGCTTTCATATTTTACTGCAAATCTAAACCTATCACCTCAAGTTCAATTTTGATTAAAAAACTACATATGCGAAATTTTTAGGTTTCAATTTGCTAACTTATAGAAGAGTAAATAGTGCAAGAACAGCTCATAAATTTTGCTGCTTCATAGCCTTCGGTGCAAGTTTCAAACTAACATTAGTTTTGTTGTAAGTCTGGGCTTGAACATTCCTTGAACATGAACAATGCTTGAACATTCCTCAGAACTATTTGATTTTCCCGAAGATGCAAAACGAGCGAACCGTAATCAGCTTCCTAATGCCACCATATTTTGATTTGTGTCTGTGCTTCGAGTTAGAATTTGACGACATAATTCAAGAATTCCAAATAAACTCATTTTACATGAGCTAAATGGATGAAAAGAGCTGTTACTGCGTTTAATTCTTCATAGATATGTGTGCTGAGTAAGCTCCTTTTTTAAAAGCAAAGATCCTAATTTGAAACTTTGCAATAAAAATTCTTCGCGATTTAAAAATTCGAGGCGCATACATGCTCGTAGTGATATGCATATTTGCTAATGTGTGTGTGTGTGTGTGTGTGTGTGTGTGTGTGCGTGTGTGTGTGTGTGTGTGTGTGTAAATGAATGAGTTTGTTATGTATGTTTGTAGAAACGTGTGTTTGCTTGCGTATGTGTTTGTGTGCGCGGCGTGTTGTGACTATTTCTGTATGTTATCAGAACTGTCGGTATTACCTGCTTGTGTTGTCTATAATAATGTATTCCCGAATTTTAGTGCTAGTAAATGTGCGTGTGTGTGTATGTATGTTTTTATGTATGTTTATGTGTGCGTATATTTGTCAGTATATGTGTGCCCGTTTGTTTGTATGTATATATGCACGCATTTATGTGTATGCATATGCATGTGTCCATCAATTTTAAAAAGCTTTTTCAGTTTATGATTCCTGCAGCGCCTGATTATACCCCACTGGTCCCTAATTATTAATCATGAGCTAACTGTTCACTCCAGTAAGATGTATTTTGTGTGTAGCACTTAGTTGGCAAAATATACTGACTTTTGGAGTACACTTACGACGAACGTGTGCTTGAGTGTGCAGATGTATAGCTGCGTACAAATGATTGCTCCTGAATAAACGTAGGCTTGTCTTTGCGCCTTTGAATAGTTCTAGCTCAGAATCTCAAATTTTGGATGCTACCTACGTACAGGTGCGAAAATCCAGAACAACTATATTTTACATTTCAGCCAGGAGCCAAATTTGATCCAAAGGTTATCACTGCGCAATAATTTTAATTGCAAACTCAAAATCTCGAGTTTGTAGCTCAGACTGCTTTCATTTGTAACTCTTCTTATAACTATAGTTGGGCCGATGGGTTGCAAATTGACAAAGAGTGTTATTTGTTTCGCTACGTGTAACGACTAATCAAATTTAGCTCCCCATGACAGAGATCACCACAAATACTAAACATCTTTAGTTTTTCGAAGTGATCATTGTGGGGCAGCACAAACTCCTTTTATACGTGTCAGTTCATCTACCTACTGTCCACATTAACGTGAAAGTGCATTATCGCAACTGCGCTTTAGTGCTGTCCGTTATCAGTTACATGCAGCGCTGCTCAAAACGTTACAGTATGTCACTAACGGTTGCCGGTTATATGCGCGGCGACACAGATTACAGTCGCATGTTACGGCGTAACGTTGTTCGTTATGTATGCCTGGCGCAGGTGCTAGCGTCACGAAATATCAGCACAGCAGTCCGCAAACGATTTCCAACAGTCAGCTCACTTGTCACAGCTGGTGAGCTTTTCAAAATACCAGAAGTTCCACAGTAATTTCTGGTGCTGATCTTTTTCTGAAACGATTTCCTTGGGAAGGCGCATTTTTGCTCATAACTATCGTGCGTGTTCGGCTGGAAAGCCTGTACATAAATGGTTCGTCATGACGGCCCTTCAACTGATTCAGCTCATGAAAAGCACCAAAATTTCGAAATCGCCTCATCCCGCCTCAGCTCGTCTCATTCTGGAGTTTTTATATCAGCTCAAATTTGAAGGTGTGTTTATGATTCGCGCAACGCTATGGCTTGACTGCAGGCCCTTGAACGCTTTGTATATGTGGTCAACAAAAATAATTTCTAAAACACAGCCTTCCAGCTCCGCTCTTAAATTGCAAAATTAGCCGTCGTTTGGAAGTGAGGTTACATATCATGATAAAAAAGCGATGTGTGTAAAATCTACGTTCGTTTATACAACTAAGGATTACGTTTTTAATATGTTAGCGTTTTGGCTTCGGCCCGAAGCTGTATTTTCTTGATGCAATATTATTTTGCTTTTAGTATGACGGATTTCAAAGAAAAAGCTACATTTTGCTAATAAAATTGCATACTAATAGTAACAGTTACATTTTTGGCTTTATGTTGCCGCATGAGCTTCAAAAATTCGAGGAAATTGGCGCCGAAATGGGATCACGATTTTGGTTACCGATCCAGTGGGCAATTTCCGTGGTTTATGACGCTCGTAAGGCGGGACTAATCGAAAGTGATTATTTCTGTGAGAGGATATGCAAGGTAAGCAAAATGTCCTCTTTCCAGAAAGGCTGATGTAAAAAATTGTTTTTGGTTCGCCCAAATTTAGCACTTTCCACCATCTGTGTTTTTACTTCTCGCATCATCCACTATTTACGCATTCCTTAGGGAATTTCGCTCGACAGGCGGCAAATCTGAGTTATCAAACCTTTGCAAAAATATAAGGTAGAAATAGGCATTACGTGACAAAAATAAGATGGAAATCAGCAACAGGTAAAAAAAAATTCCACTTGCATAAAAATGCTGTATGAAAGACTTTGTTCCAAAAAGCCGACCTGCACGAGCGCTAATGAAAAGTGCTTAAGAACATCAATATTTATCTTACCACCGGTAAGGAAATGATCAAAATTCGTATCACCACCAATGCCGAAGGCAACGATAAGGCTAAAGAATTTTGTGATAAACTCAAATTCAGCGTAAGCTTTAAATCTTCACACACAACCATTATCAAAAATTTCATCGTAAACCCAACAGTAATCAGTGCACTGTTATTTTGGCGTCGCGACTATAGGCCGACCCAGAGGACGGTAGAGAAGGGAGCAGGAGGGGGAAGGAGGATGCGAGGGGGAAGAGGGGGCGATAGGTCTTCCGCTCCCCGTCCTCCAACAGCATAGGCGCCAGTGCTGCAAAAGCTCGGGCCTGTTCATAAATAAAATTGAAGTAATTCTAAACAGCAGTGTTACAGAGGAATCCGCAGTGTTGGTTTTTGCGTAGTCCCAGTTTTTGCGTAGCTCCATTGCCCCCTTACCCCACGAGGAATCCGTTCCGGGTCCACCTGTGGTCATGAATCAGTCCTGTGCTGCTTCTGGTCCTTTTGGGCCAAAAAAGTTACGCATGTTCAACAGAGAATTTGTGTTCCACAGCTGTCACAAAAAATATTCAGTGCATCTTCAGTTCAGTTTTTTCTTGTCAATAGCCTGCCAGCCCTCTGAGATCGCGTTTTGCATCCGAAATGTTTTTCCATCACGACAACAAAAGAAAATATAATGAGAACTGCCTTTTAGACTTGTTTTTTTAAGGAGCAGATTTGCCCAATTTCGATGTTGTGCAGTTCTCCGTTGTTTTTTTTTTTTTATAATTCCACTAGAAATTGCAGGAAATTCGGCAATTCCGGAGATGCCTAGGATCAATGTGCAAGTTCGATTGGGTTCCACTACCATTAGCCTATCCACAGTTGGTTTATCTAGCCGTGCATGTGTATTTCCTAATAAATCTCATTTCTAAGCAAGAAATTATGCTGCCAGTGACGCACAACAATCAGCACAAAACATACAGTATTGCAGCGGAAGTCAGTAAGCGAATCCTTACTGGTGTTTTACCCAACGCTAAAATAAAATGCCGGGCAACTACTAAAACTCGACTCTGCTTGGTCCGGACCTGCTTGGCCGGATCGGGAGTCAGGTTTTTATGAATGAGGGGTGGGGACAGCTGGGTGAGGGCGGCGGAAGGAGAAAAGGCTGAAGTCGTGAAAGGAAGGGTGAGGGTCCCGGATAACAAAGGTCTCGGGGGGTCATGACGGGGAAAGGCCAGGTTGTTGACTGGGAAGACCTTGGTTGGAGGTAGGAATTGAAAAAGGCGAGGTTTGTGGAGAGGAGGGGTGCTCCTTTGGGTTTTTTATGCTCAGTCTGAACCTTGATGCTGAGAGGACGTCGTAAAGGAGAGGTAGAACGGGGTTATTGACTAGAAAGGAGCTGAGACTCTAGTTTAAGGTAGGAATTGAGGACAGGGTGGGATTTATGGAGGGATGCCTCTGCAGGTTTCTTATTGCACTCAGAATGAAACTTAGTGTTGTGGGAAAGTTATCAATTTTGAACACAACACCTGGAACCCACGATTTTTGTTGCTCGAACCAAACTCAACCCAGGCTGGAAAGCACCCGGCGAGCTCGTGCGATTTGCACCGGACTTGAAATACTCAGGTCATTAACTGCATGAATGGTTGCTGCTTTACACCTACTTTTTGCGGTCACTAACATAAATCACCATAAATTTTGCATAAAGGGAATGAACAGCTTCTATTTAACCGCCGTTCTTTAAAAGTAACCTAGCTGTTCAGTGAGAAATTTTTCCGCCAAAACTTTTAAGTGCCCGCTCGTAAGAACCACGCATAACTCAAGGCTGAATTTGAAATACTTAAGTTGTATTTGAGCAGGGAACATTCCTCCAAAATTTCAGACTTCCAGCTTTTCTGTTTCCTGAGTTAGTAATTTTCCCGCCAAAACTTTTATACTTCCTTACTTTAGTATCACGCATGCCTGGGGCTTGAATTTGATCAGTTTAAGTTGTATATGTGCTGGGAACATTCCCTGAAAATTTTAACCTCCCAGCTTTCCTGGTTCCCAAGTTAGCGATTTTCGAGCCAGGAACCCTGACAGGGCCGTATGCGGGAACCCCGCATATCTGGGGCTGAATTTGAAATCTCTGAGTTCTATGTGGATGGGGACATAACCTCAAAATTTCAGCTTTCTAGCTTTTCTCGTTCCCGAGTTAGCAATTTTCCCGCCAAAACTTCCAC